GCCGCCGGTCCGTCCGCGCACCCCTCCGCTGCGCTCTCACCTACCTTGAGCCGCCCCGCCCCGCCCCGCCCCGCCCCAACGGGCACAGCCACTACAGCACGGCTCGGGGCGCGGCGGTGTAGTACAGAAGGGAAGCCAAAGCAAACGTCTTCCACTCTGCGAGACCCACACTCCACTCGGGGGAGGCGAGCCGACGGCGGCGCGGGGCCGAGGCCGACCCGCGGGTCAGGGTCGAAGGAGGGGTTGGAGGAGAGGGTGGCCGCGGACACCTCCCCGTCGTCGGGCCGAGCCGCTCTGCTAGCGGAGCGGAGGAGCGCAGGAATGCCGCCGTTCGCCGTTCATTCATCACTCCTCCCTGATTGATTTAACTCCCCCATTCATTTGCAGCCGAACGCTCTGTCATTTCATTCAAAGGAGGAGGAGGAGGAGAGCGGAGCGGCGACCCGACAGGACAGCAGCGGGGTTGTTGACCCAGCTGACCGCCCAGCCCCGCCCAGGCAGTGCACCGCGAATATACAAGAAAGGTTATCGCGAGCCCCCCGCGAGGCGGAGGCGGGCGGGGCGGCGGGGGGCACTTAGCTCGAGCTCGTATCGGAGGAGTGTCAGAGCGTGTATCGGCCGCGCAAGTGCGCGCGTGTGTGTGTGAGTGTGTGTGTGAGTGTGTGAGTGTGTGTGTGTGTGTGTGTGTGTATGTGTGTGAGTGTGTAGAGTGGTCCAGCCAGCCTCGCCACAGCAGATGGCCGCCGCTGCTGCTGCTGAGGGAGGCTGCAGACTGCAGGCTGAGAGGGTGTTGCCTGCCCCCATTCACGAGCAGTACGTACACGCCGCCGTGCCGCCGCCGTGCGTGTGCAGGCTCGAGTGGGTGCCGAGGAGCTGCTGAATGGCAGCAGCAGCTTGGCACAAAACAACACAGAGGCGAGGGCCAAAGCCGCGACGGCCCCCAAGCAGCCGCGGGCCTGGCCGCCGCCGCCACGGCAGCAGCCCGCGCGCGGATGATGGAACATTGATCAAAATTAATGAACGGGACGAATGAATGACCTGGGCCGCCGGGCCGCCGGGCCGCCGCGGGTCCCGCTGCCCGTCCTTCTGTCCGGCCCTCCCATTCATTCGCTGCCGCTGGAGGGCCAGCCAGGGCCGGCGGCAGAGGGCCAATAGGCCAGGCCGGCCCGGATACAACCGATAAAAGTCGGATATATGTTTACTCACGTGGACCCCCCGCCCGAGCCCAAGCCGGCCGGGGGGGATACATACTGCAGTGGGATAGGAAGGGCAAGCAAGGGCCATAGGATAAAAATACTGTACGGGCACGCGCGCGCTGCTTCCGACCCGGGGCTCCACTTCCCCCGCCTCCGAGTACGGCCCACAACGATCAGGGTTATTGAAATTTGACTTTCAATGTCCTCCTCCTCCTCCTGCTCTGCTGCCGCTCCATCCAACTTGCTCGTTGGACCCCCCCCCCCCTCCACCTTTTCCTCGTGTGTACTAAATCGTGGGATGCGAGACCGCACACGGCATGGGAAGAGTATTATGGGGAGGAGGCGGAAGGATATGGGGGACATAAAGGGAATCAAAACAGGCTCGTGAAGGGCGGGCGGGTCCATAAGGAGACGTGAACAACAACGGCCGCCGAAGTGATGGCGGCGCGGCGAGTGAAGGCTGCGGACGCGCTGCTGCAGGGTGGCAGCCCCCTGCACTCGTTAGGAGCGGGGCAGCCAGAGAAAACTAACATCTCATGACAGGCAGGGGGGGTGGGGTTGGGGTGGTGTGGGGGGTGCAAGGCAAAAGGGGGAGGTAACTGTGGAACACAAGAGTGCCGCAACGCGCCGCGCGCGGAGGGGAGAGACGAGGGGCGTGGCGTGGCGTTGCACGGCGGGGTCGCGCGGGCGCGGGGGGAAGGTTCTCTGATTTACGCTACACAGTCCGATAGGCCGCCGATCTCCTCCCGCCCCGCGCCCCGTGAGCTCAGAGAAGGGTCGGGCGTGCCGGGCCGGGCCGGAGTGCACCGCCGCGGTGCAGCGCGAGAGCGCGGAGAGCACGCGCAGGGTGATTCATTCCTATTGGGGGCGGGAGAGCCCTCCGCCCCGCGCCCCGCCCCGCCCCGGACCGCGACGCATCTGGCCGATTGGGATCGGAGAGAGACTCGACCCGGCTACGGGGGTTGAATCTGCCCCCCCCCCCCCTTCTCCAAATTTGTTTTCCTCTCACTCTCTCTCTCCTCTTAAGAAGGGGAATAAAATAAATGTGAATTATGTGGCGGTAAATGGGTAAAAAAAATAATCGGCCGTCTTGAAGGAAGTATTTCCTCATAAGACTTTAAGGGATTGCGTACTGTCACATGGCAACAAACTAAAAGGTTGGTGAGGCAGAACTAGTTCGCTGTGAACTGCAATGTGGGCTGCTGATTGAGCTGACAGAGTAGTGAGCCATTAAAATGTGAAACCATGTTAAATAAACACAAAAAAAGGGTTTTACAAACCACAAGGTGGGGAAGGGATCTCGAATCAGTTAATGAATGAGTTTAGTGACAGTTAACTGAGAACTTTTAAGAATCAAAGAATACTTCAAATCCTGAATGAAAATGTGATGCATTAGTATCTTCCAGCTCAAGCAAACAACTTTTCAATTAAAATATGGAAGGTGAATGAGTGCACAATGTACAAATTTAGTTGAAATTTCGCTCTCAGACAAACCTTTTCTCAATCAGAACTAGCTCAAGCTCCCTTGCACCTGGCACCCACATTAATGACCATTATGACAGAGTTAAGACCAACACGGAAGAATGGAAAAATCACAACAATAACACAAACAATTCATAGTAAACAACCGTTGACTGACACAACATCCAACCCCTGTCACTGCTCCTGCTGTTTCAGCCCCCAACATTTAAAGTGTAGCTAACTAGTGCTCGCTTCTAATTCTAAGGATGTATCCAGCCACAACTAAGGGGTCCCGCAGAAGCACTGCCTCGGTCCGTTCCCGAGTAAATCCAGGCACCGGGGCGTTGTCAGGATCCAGGGCTGGAGCTGGGAGGCTGGCCCTGGAGGGAGATGGGCTGGTGCACTCCAACCTACCACTGTGCTCGGTGAAGATGTTGTTGCCCTGCAGCCGCCCGTCCTTCGGCGGCCTAGGCTTGCTCCTGACGCTCCGGGTCGTCAGGTTCCCGAGGTTGCCCAGGTTGCCGCCGAGAGTCCCTTGAGGGACGGGTCGCTCCTTGCCGTGCTGGGCTCCCATCTCGCCGTCGTCGCCGAGGCCCTGGGGCCGACACCGACACTCTCACACAGCACTTCACTCGCGTTTTTCGCGCATTGGGCGCTCAGCCGCGCGTCGCCATTTTGGGCCCACGGGAGCGACGGTCCCAGACCTGCAAGTCGCCAGTCACAAAGCGGCCGTACGTCCCTATTTACACCGCGAAAAGTTCAAAATTTGATGATCAATATCCATAGGTTACACTCTCGTCTCCGCCATCTTTGACATTTCAACGTCGATTTTCTGTTTCGCCTCTCGGCCTACAGATGGCTCCACCAGCGCACACGGCAAGGAGTCCAAATCGCCGTGACTTTGAAAAAACATAGGGACATTTTGGCAGATTTTGAATTAACGGTTCGCTAAAACTACAAAAGAATAATGAGAAACGGCCCCTAAGTCGATCGAAGAAGAGCACACTAAAAGAACTTTAGAGATATTGGTATTCTAGAAACCACTGAAATCGATGTCAAAGTCGATAGTTCAAACCGCGCAACTTCGCCGCGTCCCTCCGAATATTCAAAATTTGTTTTGTTTCAAGAAATTGCATGTATGTTTTCGTAAAACTATCATATAGTGTCGTGCCTGGTTTCTAGTTTAATTGAACGTCCTTTTCCGTGCTGCCATCTTAATCAAGTAAGTAAACTTTCCTTTGAACTAATCTCAGAAAGAAATGGATTACGTTATAAATCATATTTCTTCGTGGGTCTCTAACCTCACGTTTTCTCATAACATTATGAATGTTTGTTGATAGTTCATTAAAGTGAGCACCTTGAAAGTGAGGTAGATTTGTCTTTAATGCGGTTTGGATATTTTAAATTGAGTTAAACTTTGATCAATTAAGCCTTGGTTCAATAAATGTTTTAATTTTTTTTCTTCTGGAACTGTAATTCTAGTTTATAGTTCATAATTCTAGGTTGAATGATATGCTCTACGTGTTTTAACTCAGCACTTCAGAAGTAGTGCCTCTCTCATAACAATGGAACGAGAAGATGACGATGATAGTATACCTGCAACTCAACCAGTGAGAACCCTCCTGCTAGATGGTATGTTTCATTCTGCTTTTCACTTTTCATTTAGCTGGACAAAATTATTACATCAAATATTTCCTCTTTGAAGGTGTTGTGGCGTATGTTGAAGTGAGATCTGGTCATGACAATAGATCCAGAGGAGTTAAAACACAATTAAAAAAACTTGGAGCCAGAGTAGTTGATACCTTGACCAAGGATGTAAGTATTCCAATATTATTGAATATTGGTCAGAAATTTGTCTTCTCTTGTTTATTTTAAATTTTGGTTATTATTTATTTACCTTCTTTCACAGGTGACACATGTAGTTTTCAATGAGGGCCTGCCGTCAACATACAAGAAGGCAAAGAAAATGAAATGCCATTTGGTGTCTGTCTTGTGGATTGAAGCTTGTAAAGAAGAATTAGCTAAAGTTTGTGAAGCAGGTTACCCACCTATTGGACAACAGGTGTATGAAAATCCACAATCCCTTAAAAACTTCAAGGTATTTATGTTGCACCATATGTGCTTGTTAAACTTCATACCTTTCCACACCATATTATTTACCGTGACAAATTTTGTAGAAACTTAAATCAATGCAACCCGATTTTGATGAAGAAGTGGCTATTGCAAAAACAAATAAGGTTCGAAAAATAATACAGCGCCGCAAACCAAAAGTAGTGGAACCTACAAAGGACGATAACAAAAGTGACAGTGAAGTCAATGTAAGTTTTTCATTTTTATATTAATATCAATGTAAATTTCTCTCAGGTCTATGACTGGGGTTATCAACCCTCTTTATTTCAATTTTGTTTTCCCCTCAGATATCATCATCTGAAACAAATACTATTAACACTGGTATTCCTACAAAGAAACCTCTAAGAACAAAAAGTACTCGGACGTCTACCAGCCTTAAAAACTCAAAAAAGGCTTTGAAAGAAATTACACCAGTTATTATCAATAAGTCATCTACTTGTAATGAACCACAAAAGAAAAAAACTACTATAACAGAAGAGAAGCGTTCTGCTCGTGAGGAAAATGCAAATGAATCACTCCAGAGAGCAGGAAGTTCTTCAGAAAGTGTTATTTTCTGTGGTGTGGTGCATGATGTACCTTCTATCAGTACAACTCGCAGAAAAAAAAGCTCTGAGGCCTCATGTAACAAAGAGATCTCTCGTGCTGAGTTTGTGGAAGGATTAAGTACTGTTGTTCGATCTCTATCAGAAAACAATCAGAAATGGGCGCCTAGTGAAATTTCACCATGGAGAAGGCGTTTATATGAAGGCAATAAAAAAGTGTTGCCTCCTTCACAAGTGCCCCAGAAAAAAGGTCTCAGTTCAACAAAGACTTCCTTGCCTAGAAAAAGTCAAAGACAGTTAGAAGAACAAGAAAAATTATCAAAGAAATCTGATCCAGTTAGTGCATCAGCAAGTGCAGCTCGTCTCCAAAAGCAGAAAATGCCACCTCCGTCACCTTTAGAACCTTTTATGCTACTATCTCAGGAGCCAGGAGATATGCCAAGCTTAGACGAATTGGCAAGAATGAAAAAAGGTGCTATCAATGTTGGGGGGGCTCCTATAACTCTTTCTCAAATAGTGAGATCATATGATGCTGTGGCTAAGAAAGATTCATCCAGTTTTACTTCGGCTGCTGGTGAATCAAAGAGCCCAAGTCAACCTGAAGTTAACTACAAGAGTTCACAAAATTCAAACAAGGGTGAGCAAGTTGGTGGACAGGAAACCTTGATTTATGTGGAGGATGCTGAATGTGATGCAGAAGTTGTTGAGCATTGTGGAAATACTTGCCCTTCAGATGCGGGGTCTACAATGTCTTCAGCAAGCACAAGAGTGTTGATCAATGGAATGGCATCAGAACGTTCTAATGTCAGTTTCACAAATACTTTGCCTGGGCTGGAGGAGGAGGAGGAGGAGAAGGTGCCTTCCGTTGGTGGTCTGTTAGCTCCATCTACCTTGGAAGATAGAGATGTTGAAACATGTGAAAGAAAACCATCTCCTGTATTTGTCATCAAGAAGGCAAAGTTTAGAAGACCATTGAAAAAAATAGGAACTACTCTTAAGAAGGATGTGGGTCCATCAACTTCCTCAGACTTCCAAATTATAAATGATAGTGAAAACAATCATCAGCATGGACTAGGGGATAGTAAAACAGAAGATAACTCTAACTCCACTTCAGCCGAAGCTAATAAAAAGAAAGGGTCTATTAATCCAATGGATTATATCAACAAGATATTTTTGCCCAAGTTTTTAATGGCCAGTAGTACACCAAATAATATTGAGAGCACTACTGTGTATGTGGAAGAGACCCCTGACATAGTATGCAACATGAAGAATGAAGTTCCGTCAGTGGTCATCCCTCCAACTCCTGCTGTTGAGATGGAGTGTGTAAAAAATGACACCATAGTTTCACCCACTCAATCCTTAACTGGTTCTGTAATTTCATGGATGAAAAGCTGCAAAGTTCCTCTTTTCGGCAAGAAAAAGTGTGAAACTCCAAGCAGCAGACAAGCTGTTTTAGATTCTGTTTCAAAGTCACCTAAAAAGGTTTTCAATGAGACAGTTGACACCACACAAGTCACTTCTGCAAAAGCTGGCTCTGTGAAGTCTGTAACTCAACATTCTCGAAAAGATGAGGTTGACAAGGACCAGGATCCAACCTTTCAAACCCAATCAAAAGATTCTGAAGATTCTATAGTCCCTTCAGATACCCAGCAACCTTTACGAATGTCCACTCGAAAGCAGCAAAGTTTGTCACCCTCCAAGTCTGTAAGGTCAAAAATAACCAAGAAACTGGAAGACAGTGGCAATAATGTTAGCAATGCTACTGCATCAAATCCTCTGCCGGGGAAGAAATCAGAAGAAAGCAGTGGGATCAAAACTAGAAGAAGAGTAAAAGTTAAATCTACTCTTGAGCCAAATAATTGTGGGACACCCACTAACAAACCCCAAAAATCATCTTCTGTGAAACAATCACCTGCTAGAGTCAATAAAAACGAAAAACAAGAGTCAAGTTCTGGTTATGATACTTCTAACTCACAAGTCACTCTATTGAAGAAGAGTCCTGAAAAACATTCTGATATCTGTTCTTCCAAGCGGAAGAGGATATCAGAAATTGTGTCTCCCATTCAAGGCCCCGCAAAGAAAAGAAGTGCTGTTTATGAAACCTCCACAACTTCAACCTTGGATAACAGCCAAGACACTGACAGCCCTCCACAACCGTCTGGTAGAAAAAGAACTAATACTGTGCCAAGCTTACACAGTAAAAGGGTGAAATTGAACTCATCTGAACCCTCTGTGCATTCAAAAACCACAAGGCAAAGTAGAGTTGATTCATCATTGAGTTTATTAAAGACGCGGTCTCAATCTGACTTGTCTAATGAAAGCTCACAATCCAGTGAGAGGAAATCATCAGTAGTAGCTAAGAAGCGACTAGCCAAGAGCCTCACCAGGTCATACTCCAGCAATACTCCGAAAGTTATAGTTTGCACTTTCTTAACAACAAGGTGAGTAATTACGTAAAAATGAATTGTTTTAGAATAAGTCCAATTTTTAAAAAGTAACATCCCATATGCAGCAGCATTGAAATGTTTTTATATGCAACCTTTCTTTTTCTTTTGCAGTGAACAGAATGGTATTGACGTTGCAGGTGAAGCTTTAAGTAGGTGGAAGCTAGAGGATAAGGTCACATCTCGCACCACTCATGTTATTAATAGTGGACCAAAGAGAACTCTTAATATGATAAAAGGAATGGCAAGAGGATGTTGGCTAGTAGACCAAAAATGGGTAATGTATAAGTAATTTACAGAAAAGCTGCCAATCAAGGTACTGTAGTTTTCTTTATTATCTCTGCTAACGCAAGAGTTATATTTCTACAGATGCTGGATTCTTCTAAAGCTGGAGACTGGCTGGAGGAGGAGCAGTATGAACTTGTAAAATTTTCACCAGCTGTCAGGGTAAGTACAGTGCAATTATAACTGTCACCATAATTCTATTTAAACTTTAAATTTAATTAGTTTTATTTATTTATTTTCAGCAATGTCGGTTAAAGCGACAAACAATGGGCAAAGAGTTTAAACATGATCTATTTTGTAAAGTAGGGACCATTTATGTTTCACCAAAGACTGAAAATCCTCCTGCTAAGGAAGTCCGTGAAATTTTGGAGTTATGTGGTGCAGAATTGATATCTTCTCATAAGGAAGCTAATAACATTGTTGGAGTTAAGATGAATCACAAAGGCTCCTATCATTGTGTCAATGCCCGTTGGGTTTTGGACAGTGTAACCAAAAATAAAGTTTTGTCTGTAAGCGAGCCATCTTTTCAAATTGAATAAGACTTTGCCTTACGGACTTGGCTTCTTACATTCTGGAGATGACGAGTACAAAAATACTTACTGTATTTTTTTTATCAGATTTAAATATCAATTAAGAAATGTTATTTTTATCTTTGATGTGTGGTCCTTCATTAGCTGTTATGACCTAGTGTTTTCTTGACTCATTACGAAACCTATATTTGTTTTTTATTGATGTTTACAATTTATCTCAACTTTTGTCTGTAAATTAAGCATGGCTACTCAATGTGTCTACTGTGTGGCTTGATGCTTGGATGTGCAATGGCATGCATTCTTAATACACACAAAGTTATATTTTATCACATTGATGTAAG